TTTATAGAGCGATGCAAGCTTGTCCCGCACACAAAAGAGAATGTGAACTACTTTCTATATAATAATAATTAATTTTGCGCTGAGATATTGGCTCGATTTGTAAGAATAATGTAAATATAATTCGTGCCAACACTTTATTCGCAATAATTGCAGAATAAACTAATATTATCGCATAATACCAAATAAATAATAATAATTAATAATGTTATTGATTTGCAGTATAAATAGGAAAACACAGCTATGTTATACAAATACGGTTGTGCCAAATTATCTAATGAAAGCAACGGACGATAGCGATAAATCACGGGTTGTTGGTTCGCATTACAAAAGAGAAAACGTTAATTTAAACTGACGTTACGCGTATGCTGAGTTCCGTGTAAAAGTACCAAGCCATAAATCACGAATCGTTAATCGCGTTACAAAGAAGAAAACCGGATCGAGTGTAGGGCGTAGGAAGTGATAGTAGCTTTGATTCCTGCTCAATGCTGAAAAATGCGACTCGACAAGCAAGCCGGGCGAGTGTAATAGGACGTGCCTTTACGCGAGGATTGGAGAAAGAGAGACGAGCTATTTTCACGCGTCACAGAGATGGTAATTGAGTCGTGCCGCTCGAAAGATCGAGCCACCCTCGACTGACTGAGACACGAAGGAGATTCAGGATGACGCGCTCGCGCGTACGAGCTGCCGGTAGAAAAGTCAATGTAAAAACTAGTATTAGAGTTAAATCTTTTGTTAGAGACGAGCTTTCTTCGCGAAAAATCTAATAAAAAAGAAAGAAACTTTCTCCGTAATTTCAAAATTTAAACAAATTTAATAATCTCAAGACTGTAATTATTATTAGAGATTATTACGCTTCAATTTGAAAAAAATTGCATCCTATTATTAATTTTTAATGCTTCCGGTGAATTTTTTTATATTTGTTTTTATTGTTCGTATATCGATAATTCTAAGATGTGGGTTCTCTATCTCACTTTTCATATATTTTGCCGTTCCCACCCATTTCCGGTGCTTCCAATGTGCTTCCGATGCCGACGAACGAATGATATTTCCGTGCGGTGAATCGCGCGGAATCTATTTTCGCGCCAGAGTGACGTATTCGCGGATGAGCCGCTCAATGGCAGCGGCAGCCGGCGCGCGAGTGAAAGTAATCCATCATACAACGTAACGTTCTACCTCGGCGATATGCCGACAAACTTAGAATGCGTCATCTCGGTACGAATATATGCGAAAATTAAAAGAAAAATAACTTTGGTAAATTTAATTTAAATAGAAGTCACGAGTGTGTTACTAAAGTATCTAAATTGTTTAACAACTGAAAAAATTTGGTTAAAATACGAATAATATGAAAACATAGAGTAAATGCCATGAAATTCGCTCAAAAAGAATACTTTTTATGCATATCCTACAATTTAGAAAAATTTTATCACTTTATTGTTGAAACGTTGTTTTGACAACAAGTGAAATTGCGGCCGCAGTAGATAATACATTGTCTGGTCTTGATAGACAATGTCTTTATCTACTGCACAAATTAGTCTTTAACGTATAATATTTGATCTCCTCGGAATTGACATTCTTTTGTTTAAAGTATATTATTTATAATAAAAATAAGATAAAACTGTAAAGTATAATATAGATAAAATAAATTATGACGTTTTTTGTGGGACATTCCTTAAAAATGTTCATTCGCTGGATGTATAGAGAGTTGATTAAAGAGCTATATGGGCTGTAAGTGTCAAGGCACTTGCTCGCAGAAACGGTTTACGTACATCATGTCCTCGAAAATTCACCGGTCAGGAAATCGCGAGAGCGAGAAACCGCCGTGCTCCACGTTACGCTTTGATGTCCTGGTGAACAAGCTCACGGCACAAAGGCGAAAGTCTCGAGAGAAGAAGGGCTCCGCTTCACAGAGGAAACACTTCGCGAAGAGGCATTCTCACGCAGGAAATCGCCCGAAGATGAGAGAGAAGCACGCTTTCTATGGCACGTGGACCAGATATGAATTTTAGGGATGCGGGGCTATCGCGTGAATATTTCATTTCGGAATATTGTACGAACACGTCGCTGTCAACTGGAAACATTAATTCAGATTATAGTCGGGTCCCGATTTCCACCAATATTATTAACAATTCACACTGGTGAATAATTACTATTAATATGCTGTATTTAGGCGTTAAATCCTTCATTTGAGATATGCAAATTATCACTATCACTAATATTAATCTCGAAATTGCAGTATATTTATGCAGATGTAGATTATAAAAAAAATTCTAATTTGTTTCTTAATGAGCATCCAAAGGATTGGCAGAAAAAAATATCAGAATAAAAATAATATTAAAGATTACTAAAAAAAAAAGAAAGAAAGAAAAAACCGAGCACACACAAATCGCATAAATGTCATACGGGCATTTGTAATAATGCAGGCAGAAACTCGAAATTACTGATGATGATTCAAACGCGAAAAAGTTTTCAGTAATGAAACGAGAAAGAGCTTGAGTTTTATAACAAGAGAATAAATGCTAATGGTCAGCTTGTTCACCAACATGCCGGAGGCATGTTGCGCTTTAACGATAGCTGGAAGCTTACTCGTTGATAAGACCCGTGCTCCGCAGGTTTACGCGCGGAATAAAGATAAGCCGATGCGTCGCGTCGCATAGAAGATGCAGATCGTAAGTCGGAGCGCTACATTTTAAAACAATCGCGATCGTCGTTAAATCCATTGTGTAATGTACCGTGTACGCAATGCTATATAGCGTGGAACTGTCTGGAACGAGATGGATTTTATAGAAATTTTAGAAACATTCAATGCACACGAAAGCTAATAACCGATTCAATGGCGTATTCTAGTTCATCTATCTTTTCTTCCTTATTATATTTTATTGGATTACATTGATGTATATTTATATATTTTTTTTTAAATCAGCATTTATGATACGCGGGAAAAATGAATTAATAAAAACCAATAAAATGTGCGGCAGTGTAAAGAACCGAACGATTAAATCATTTACGATTGCCCGCAAATTGAAATACAGCACTTCAGTAGTTTACAACAAATTCTGTCGCAAAGCGCTGAACGGAATAAAAGCAGAGTGTTCAATTTTTTCCTTTCAATTTCTTTGCCTTCGAACGTGAATAAACATTACACGAAAGGATAGAGAGAATCGTAACAATATTTATATATAAAAAATAATTCCCCGCAAATATAAAAATACTATTAAGAGAGAATAAAGAGCAAAAGAGAGAATGCAATCTCAAAGCATGATGTAAAAAAGGAAAGATAAATAAATCCGCACGCCACTGAAAATATAATCCTATTTCCCTTTCGATATTAACGTAGATTCTCTACAGTTTATTTGACGTGTATGTCATACCCAACGTTCCAAGCACCATTTCAACCCCCTCGCGACACTCTTTCGTGCGTTGCGTGTTCTCGTGTGACATCCCCGACGACCGGCCTGACGATATACAAACACATTCGTCACTGTCGCCCACGGGACGTCTCTTATTTCACGGTGGTAAAGACGGGCGGAGTGAAGATAAAGAGGGTGATTGAATAAAGGTCGATTTCTCTTCCGGGAAACAGCCGGGGCGCGTTTGCACTCGTTACACTCGCGTGTTGTTATTTGCGTGAAAATTTCCTCTCGCCCGTCGAAACTCATTTCATTAACCGCGACACGCTCTCGCAACATGCGCGATGCCTCGACGATTTTCCGCGAGGCTGCACATTTTTCCACGAGGCTGGGCTTTTCCTTTTCATCGCAAGGTACTCGGCGCGATATGAACTGATGTTGAGAAAAGCTTATCCGGAATCGTTTCAACGTGGATATAAAAACTAACGCTGAGTCTACTCGCAATAACCAAAACTGCATTAGCGCGCACTTGAAAATGCATAGAGAGTGGCTTTAACGACGGTATCCAATTTATTTTTATTCAACGACCATCTTTGGCAAGCGGATGACGGCAAAGCTGAAACGGATCTACTAACTGTTTGCACGGCGTTTTCATAAAAGTTTAATTAATTAAGCCACTGTATTTGATTAACGTCGCAGGATCTTTCGCGTTTTACGAAAATTAGCAGCGGAATACACGAATGGCGATTTATCGCGCTGGAAGCGCGCTTAATAAAGGCGTCATGACGTCAGTGGGATGAATGCATTGGACCGCAGTTATATTGACGCATTAGATCCACTTAATATACAGGCTGTGTGAGCGATGGAAAATATTGGCATTGACTAACTGTTGTTTTCAATACATAAAACATCGACGCCAATATTTATTATCGCGTTAAAACGATTGATTCGCGTGTGATTATACGTCCCGGCAGAATTGCCATTTATATTTAATGCGTTAAAGAACTGCACGGCCGAATCCACGTCAAATTTACTAAATTACGAAACGTATATTGCACACAACTGGAACGCATGAGTCGGCGATTTTGTAAAGTGCACGTATTTAACAATATTTCGCGATAATTAATGCTATAAATTACAAGATAATTACAAAACTAAAATTACAACAATAATACGGCAGAAGGCAGACGCGCGAGATGTGACGGAAATATGACGGGAATGTGACACGTGTAAAAAAAGAAATTTGCGTTAGCATCATTATATTAAAATTAAATGTAATAAAATACTATTCTATCTGCCCGGTTGTATGTGTGTAATTTCTGGCAGTTTCCGAAAGAGATTCCCAACGCAAAATAATACGAAATTAATGCAGAAGGAAACGAGCTAAATTCTGCCATAATTTTTGTCGTGCAGCGAGATTATTAGGAGTAAGCTAGCGTATATTAAACTGAATGCCGTGGCGGCGGCGGCGGCGGCGGTCTGGGCGGAAGTCGAGATGTATCGCGACGTTAATTAAGACGGATGTGTGCCTGCGAGATATTAGGACCTCTTCCTATATCCTTTGCAGACTACATCGTCCTGGGAAAGAGCCTTTCGGCGAATGGGTGGTAATACGCGGATAAAACGACGGCATACGTTGGCTTTATGGCTTACCATCGTCAGGGACGCGCCCGTCCCGCGTGGGTACTGGAATTCCTGGACACTCACCTGGAACACGAAAAAGAAAAACGGAGAGATAAGTGCTTTGGCACAGGGATCAAAGCGATGGTTTTGAATTATTTAAAAATATTAGTGTGTTCAAGTATAAACGTCAAACATTTAAAGATTCCAATTTTTTTTAGAGATGTTGAAATATACGTAAAAAATGTAGATGTAAAAAAATAAAAACCATAAGTTGCACTAATGTCTATGCATGTAAGTAATAGCATTATTCAGATTCAATAAAATTATTTATGTGGGAAAAAAGCCTTTCTTCCGAAGTTGCTGAAATGCTTAATTAACGCACTAAAATTAGCATTCTAAAAAGTTACTGTTACATCGATCCGTGTACGAACAATGTTCACAGTTTTGTTCCATTTATTTGATTATCTTCCTTACTTGCAGCATAAATTCTATCCTTGCTGCTTTATCGCCCCGCAATTCCGTACTTTCCAAGTTGCGACGCGTCAAACAGCACGCGCGCTTTTGCGAACAAACTCGTGACTGCCATCGACGCGGCAATTACATTTCTGCTAGGCTTGATTAATTACTGTTTTGAGTTATGGTTCGGATCACTTCGCAGCGACATAGTTTGAGCGCGTAAAACATTGCGGAGACAAAGCGGGCATTGCAAGAGGAGACCCATAAAACTGGATTCCGCTTGACGGAATTATTGTGCGATCTATCAAAGATTTTCTTCCTTTTCGGACTAATAAAATTCGAAAAAATCTCCGTTTTTCATCGCGTCGCATATCCATTACAGGTTGAAATTTTTATTGGCGATTAAAGCGCTTGCGCATCTCCGCGAGTTAATTCACGGGATAAAAGCGCAAGCTTAGAGGGCAAATATCGATGATGCGCTTTGCGGGATGCACAGTGAGCTATCTCGATCGTGCCATCTGGCACACACGGTCTGAGTTCGCGAGATAGGTCGGTCGCGCCACCTAATAGCCAGATTAACACGTCGACAAGCGAACCTATCGACCAAATCACACATATGCCGTACAGTTTGCTCAAGTCGCTTCGGACAGCCTAATTTCCCGTTAGTGCGCATGGCGAAAATCCGCCTCACGTTATATATAAACGTCAGCGTGTACTTTTGCGCTGTCATTGCGTCGTGCATAGCCTGTATCGTGGTCAGTCCTTGTCGTCAAAATGCTACGTCGCGCGAAAGTGTCACGACACGCGAGAAAATGAACTTTTGCGGAGAAATAAACGAAATACCGTAAAACTTTTTACACGCAATTTTTTTATATATAATTACAAAAAAAAGTTTGCAAATTTTACATCGCGCAACGACACATGGCGTAAAAACAAGTATTAAATGAGTTTACAAGTTTATCGCACGCATGGCACAGTTCACGAGCGCGTGTAAAACTGAAAAACTTGTCGGAAAACTTCAAAACTAATAAAAGAGCAGAATCTCTCGAATATCGTAAAGCGAGATCGTCCGCGTGCACGAATGATAGACGCGATAATAGAAAAACCCGCGAGAATGTGCCGATAAAGGTAGGAGAACGAACGGAAAAGAAATCCTGCTGGACGTGGTTCGGGCACGTGTTTACATAAATACCGTGAGTGGATCGATAGCGTTTTACCGCTGTCGACACGCAACTTTGACGACTGCCTACTTTTTTTTTCCTCCTTCCACGCGAGCCTCGCTGTTGCACGCTCTTCGACGCGGAATCGATAAGACAGACCTCTACGGTTCTGCTTTGGTATTGTCCGTTCGGAATCGGCCTCTCACAGTGCATACGCAGGACGCAAAACGGAATAATGTCTCGCGGGAATTTTTAATTATACGCATTACGCGAGCACCGAGCAGCGTATTGGCCGATCGATACTCTCTTCTCTCGACGAGCTGCATAAAAGACCGATGTTTATTAACGATAATCTCGAATAACTAGATTATCTCTGTCTGTTTGCGCGATATTGTAAGCAACTGGCGCATTGATAATGTAGAATTAATTAACGTACTGCAGAAACACGTCCGTGACATACATCGAAAACGAGATAATTTTACACGAACGCGGTGGAAAAAAGGCGGGGCGCTCCATTACACGCTTTCACGCGGAACTATCCATCTCGTCGGACGCGCGACGTCGCGAGAAGAAATTCCATTTGCCGTGCGTTAAAGAGCGGAATACAGCGTCGTATCGTATTCCAGGCAACAGCACTTTTTATTCGAGCAGTCCATCCTCGACGGGAGAACGAAACTCGATACAGCCCTTCCGGGCACGATGGCGTCGATGTTCTCGGGCGGATCTGAACGGGCGAGTAGAATGGAATTTGCAAGGACGGGAGGGGTGAACGGAGACGGGTAGGAGCGAGCGGCGGATTTCGGGCGAGAATTTGTCAGGTAGCGCGTTGCGACTGGGCGAACGGGCGATTTATCTTGTATTAGCAAATGGATGATAATGACGCCCCAAGGAGGGAACGCGGCCGCCCGCAGTCGATAGAATCAACGGAAGTGCCGTCGATGTTTACGCGTATTTACGCAGTCGAGCGTGGACGCGCGTGAGCAATCTACACATTGATGCGTACACGCATCAAACGTGCGCCCATGTGAACGCCTTTGTGAAATTAAGCTTGTTTGCCGACGATGTAAGTGCGCGCGTGGGAGCTTGCGTCGATACACAGGCGCGATACATGTCGGTTGTGTATGCCACGATTAATACATGCTGGGTGCATCGAAGATTGCAAACCCTCTCTTCCTGGCAGGTTACACGCGAACATGTTTCACATGTGTCTAGCTACGTCGGGTTATTTCGACAGCGGAAACACGGAATATATTCTGCGCGTAAAATAAAAATTCTTCGGCTGTAATTGAGTTGCAGCGATGCGAACAAATAAAATATCCAATTTTCTTGTTGATTTTACATAAACTGTCTTTCATTAGGACTTTAATTTCATTTAATACCGAGTGGAGAGATTTTAATTTAAAAAAAAAAAAAAAGTTTTAAATTTCGCTTAGAAAGATATTTAATGGCGATAATCGGACAGACAATCTGATGAACGATCTCTCTCGACGTTTTTGCTCGCAAGATAATTCGTATCGTCCGATGACGGCTCGTGACACCCCCATGTATACGCGCCCGTGAAAGGGGTTAATGCGTGTTTCCGTCGAGTGTGTCAGTTCGCACAGTGTGTACATAGTCACGGCCGCCTTGCGATACTAATTGATGTCGGCTGACGAGCAGGACGTGGCCGGATCAGTCGGTAGAAGCGGGCCGACGCCTCCTCAGGGTGCATCCTTTTGCCTCACAAAAGCCTTCGACTTCTCTCCTCTTCCGCCTGCGATCTCGCCCGTATTCGCCCGACAATGGACACACCACTAGGAAGAATGTCGGCGCATGCCTTGGCAACAATGTGCGAACAATGCCGCGTAACGACTCGTCTCGACTCCTCTCCTCCTCTCTCTCTCTCTCTCTCTCTCTCTCTCTCTCTCTCTCTCTCTCTCTCTCTCTCTCTCTCTCTCTCTCTTTCTCTTCCTTTTTCTTTCCGAGATCCTCTCGCTACCGGCGACAATCTACTAAAGGCCAGCGGCCTACATCGGTGAATCCTGTCCGGGAGCTTATTATCGAATTTATCCTCCAGAGAAGCATCTCGCATAATACGCATTGTCGTGCGTACGCTTTCTCCGATTAATCAGGCAGAGCTTCCCGTTGTATCGAGAGCTTATTAGAGGATTTTCGTTGAGTTAAAAGTACGCTTATGTGTGGTCGATAACGATTCATTCGTCAAATTCTTGGACGCGTATTAGAAACGAAGAAGTGCACGTTGAAGCGAGACGGGTCGAACGCAGAAAATAAGATGTGACTTGTAAAATCCTTTCAAATAAATTACTGAAATTGATTAATCGTCTAGTCTGCTTTGTTGCAGCGATGCGATTTTCCACGAATACGTTACCTCGCTCGCTTCAGCCGTGTTGCGAGTGCGCCACTTGACGAGATTTATCCTCGAAAAAAAAAAAAACTACTCGCAGTGATCCGAGCTCGCGAGTTAATAATACCGGCGAAAAACTGTTTAGTGGGTCGATTTATTCAGGAACACGTAGCGGCCATTAATGCGAGATAGCACTGGCTGATCGTAGACGGCGATACGAAGAGATTTAAGTATCGGCTGACTGGGCGGTTTCCGAGGCTTTCCCTCTCTGCAGATGGTAACTATCTTTCTAAACGGTTTATTTACCCACCTCCGTTTGCATACGTACGAGGGCGAATCCTCAAATGTTCAAGAAAATTAGCCCGCCGTTGTCGATTGACCAGCGCGCAATATCGCGATTTATCCACCTCCGCGCGAATGTGCGCGATGCTTTGCGTAATTTCCGCCAATCGCGAGAGCGGTTGTCTGACGTAAGCGTTTTAAATGTTGCAAAGATGTAAACAAGGAAAAATGAAATCGAAGTCTCAGTTAATAAGCTGCTTGTAAAGTGTTCGAAGATCTTGTTTGAAAAATTCAAGCAATCTTCCGTCGAGATAGAACTTTCAAGAAGATCATGACAGAATATGTAAATTACATTTTGCTGAAAGAAAATTGGCCAGTTTAATTTACTTTAAGAAATCTCGCCGATTATACACATTTCCTCTGCATATGCCAGACGCGATACAGCCGGCGGGGTTACTTTTATTTCCACGACGAAACGCGGTTTAAACGGAACGGGGAAACGAAGGAAAAACGAAGGACGTCAAAAGGAGGCCGCGTTCTTCCGCGCGAGGAAGAAGAGAACGGGATGGATTTCATACAAAGAGCACGTTATTTCATAATGTACGCGGATACTAAACGGACATGCGATGGACGTTAACGCGCGCAGGAAGGAATGCGATGTAAAAATACAGTCGGGGAAAAACAATACCCGCTTTTCCGTCCCGACCGCCGCTCTGCCACCGCGCGTTCTCGTTTTGCAGCGTGAAACAAACACGCTTTGAGATTCGCGCGCGATAAAAAAAGGGACAAACAGAAAGGAAAAAAAAAAAAAAAAGAAAGAAAGACGGCGGAGAAATTGCAGG